TTGATCTTTGTAGTTACGTTTTTTTTTATTTGTCTCTACAGTAGCCAAGTGAATTAAAGAGCTCGTTTGTGAAATTGGTGACATAGAAATTGAGGGTTCAAATCCTAGTCGGAGACAAGGAATGATTTGATATGACAGAATATTCCATAGACATACACAAGGAATGAGAAAAATCTAGCCCCGTAAATCAAATGTATTGTTCAGTTCGAAATTTTCTGAATGTTATCCGGATACATAGACACCTGAAGAAAGGTGGTAAGAACAACAATTGAAACTTTATTATAATAATAACCAAGATGAGCTCATTAGTCCGAACGTAGACAATGTAACTGTTGTAACCGGGGACTAAGAAAACGGAAACACCGTTTCAGTCATTATTCACATACGGAATTATCGTGTCGGCCATATTGTTATGTGTGAATAAAAACAGGAGTATTACTTCTGTCAGCATAGAATTAACCAGAATAAACCGTGTTTTCGTTATTATTATATTGTGACAGTAACTATAACAGATACAAGAAGGATGGTCTTCGCCTGGATGAATATACTACTGATAAATGTAGAACCTCTACGATTATAATCGACTATCCTGAATTTAATCGTGAAAACCTATTTTCGTTAGCCGAATCATTCATTAATATTTCCTGGTAAATGTTGTAAGTTTATATTCTGATTATGTCTTGCAGGAAAATGACTTACTTCTCGTCGACGATTGTTTATTGTTAGAAAACTAATCTCAGTGGCTTCATTTTCACAGAGCTTCAGTTCAGTTATGTGCCATGCGTGACACACGCTTAGACGATCATGTAACTTTCGATACATGACAGACGAGGCAGATTTTTCCTGCAGTAGGTTGCCAGTTCTTTCTGTGGTAGACCAGTTGCCATCCAAGGCTATAGGACCCGGTCTGTCCTGCTATTTACGCATAGCTGGAGGTGGGGGAGCAGAAGAGGATTAATACTTTTCCCAACAATAAAATATAGTATTAGGTTGGTGCAAAAATAATGACGTAATAATGTTTTTTGACGTATTTTTAACGTCAAAAAACGACATTAATACGTCATTATTTTTGCATCAACCTAATTACCAACAGTACAAGATAGTAGAATCACCAACAATAAAATTTAGTAGAATTACCAACAATAACTTTTATAGCAAAGTGACCAGTAACACATTTGATCTGTAGCTGAAGGCATAAAATTGCGTTCAAATATTTAGGTTTCGGCATTAAATAATTCATAGAGGTTGGTATGCCACTAAACAAAATCAGCCAAACCAAAACAAACCAAACGAGTTGCTAACCTTTAAGGCCTTGTGCCAGTCTAATTTCGCTTTAGCAAGTACTCACAAAAAATCCTCTTTTCTGTTGAATCAATTAACTCCCATCCCTGTTAGTCCTAATGGTACCCTTAGCGTATCTTTCAAGTTGGCATAATGGTATTTGTTTTGTCATTTATGTTGCAACTTCAGGCGATAATATCACGATTCTTAATTTTGCTTTGCCCTCCTGGTACAAAATTCTGATAACAGTCATCCCAAGGCTGAAATGGCGACGGTCTAACCATCAGGGACAATAATTGGGTTTGTTATATCTTCTTTGCGTTTCATGATAGAGTTAATAGGTCATGGAATTATGGCCGGTTGGATTGTATTTATTAATACTGAAGGAATGTATGTTATGTAAAGGGGACGAAAACGAAAAAAAAAAAAAAAAAGGAAAAGCAAATCAGACGGGCTTCTGGTGTAGAGCAATGATTAGTAAATTAGTTACACTACGACCGTGAGTTCAAGCCTCACAAGGTATTCTGATATTGCATAGAACTCAGCTAAGTTCAGAAAATATATACCTCTACAGTTTCAATTGGATTCAGGAAACGACAAACGAAATAATTTAATTCACATTTTTATTGATTCATTCCTTCAATTGTCTTCTAATGATGAAGGTCGCGAGACCGAAAACACATGCTGCAAAAATATGGAAAACAGAACCTAATATATATTTTAAAAAATCCACGTTATAATCAAAACCAAAAATGTTTGCGGCTTCTCTTCCTTTTAATATATATATATATATATATATATATATATATATATATATATATATATATATATATATATATGTGTGTGTGTGTGTGTGTGTGTGTGGTCGACTCTCCCATCGTATTCGACGTATGAGGATCAAGCAGATCAGTTCCTAGGGACCGACAGCCCAGACACCAGCACATATGATTTGATTATAGTGGTGAAGGCTTTGTGCAGACCCAACCACACTTTTTGAAGGGCTGAAGACAGAGACCCTGGTGCACTACGTCCCTCACGGTCCCCAAACAATCCTCCGCGGGTTTTGAATTCAGAGTTGTCCATCTTATGTAGGAGATAGAACTAAGGCTATAGAACCCCGTCTGTCCTGTTATACCCATAGCTGGAGGGAGAAGAAGAGGATTAATACCTTTCCCAAGGGTATTCGAACGTGTGAATGTAATGGATTCGACTGGAATTCGAACTCGATTCTTCAATCCGAGCCGCTATCCACTACTCCACCATGCCTCCACCCTGTCATTCCCTCCCTCCTGTTACAAATTCATGACGGTCGTCTTCGAGTATAGAATCCAGAGGCTGGCAGTGAATATTTCGGAGACAGTAGGAAAGCGTAGTTCAGGTTAGCAGTGGATATCGCAGAAAAGTAGCAGAGCGTAGTACTTCCTTCTGTCATCTTCACCTGACAAGTTGGCATTGGTCATTCGGGTAGGGTAAACAAAAATGGCAGCCTTTATACACGACGGATACAATGTTCTGCGGCTTCTGATTGGTTAACCTTCTATTGGTAGACTATAAAGGGAGTTAAGTCATTTTGACTCGCTCACTAGTCATGTAGATATATATATATACAAAAACTGTAACACCTCCCTCCCTCCATCCTCTCTCTCTCTCTCTCTCTCTCTCTATATATATATATATATATATATATATATATATCCGCACTAGAATGTAAAATAGCTGTCTAGTCTATAATTTCGCCAAGTATGACTCACAAAATATTAATATCATGGTAATGGTAATATTAACCATTTCTTTATAAGGACATAATTTGGTACACATTGACCGAGCAGTCAGTGCCACAGTCGGTTGAAAATTATATTTCTCTTAAAACAATTTCTCAGGAAAATAGAATTTTCAAGTGTACTGTTATCATTCTCTCGAATGTTAATAGGGTTTCCTTCCTAACCTTGTGTCTGAAGTATTGTGGAATGTCGACATTAGCATTATATCATTATTTTCTCTTCGAATTATAAGTGCTATCCATTTTAGTTGTTACTGCTGTTGATAATCCTCACCTGATGTGGTTCGTTTTGTTTGCTACGGTTCCTTGTTTGTGGTTGTGTAGAAAGAGGGTTCGAAGAAAGATGACCCTCGCTTTCAAAAAGATCTTAAAATTGTTAAACCATTAATCTGATGCTAGCTGTGTTAACATACGTTTATTTTATGATTATATTTTATATTTTACTCATAGTGAAAACAATGATGACCGATGTCCTGGATCCATCCTAAAAAAATTGCTGATGTGTAATTAGTAAATATCTCGTAGGTGTTTGTCATAGTTTGACATTTTGATCTTTTACTTTAGCTTCTGGGCTACGGTATTACAGGACGACTCTTTGATTCAATCCAATGATTACTATCAAATCGTGAAATGAAGGCCGTTCTAAACGGGGTCTTTTCCGGATACTTTCATACGAACGCGGGTGTTCCCCAAAGCTCTATTCTGGGGCCTACACTGTTTCTGATCTTCATCAATTACCTTCCTGACGTCATCAGTACCCAAGTAGGCAACTATGCAGATGATCTTACCATTTAATACTCTCTCAATAGCAAATCCAGCAGCGCTAACAAAGTTAAATTGGCCGCTGCACTCGAAAAGGACATCCAATCAGTAGTTAGCTGGGGGCGAGAAATGGCTTGTCAATTTTAATGCCTCCAAAACCAAACAGCTCTCAACATCATTATAAGCATGAAGTGATATGCTCTGAAACCAGCGAGCATCTCAGTCGATAATTAATAGCGTATATTATTTGTACCTTTCCCGAACATGTGAACATACAATTTTAAAACAGTATCTGTCTATATTTCTGAGATTAGGTATTATGTACACTATTTACATTATTCGGACTATTGTCCTCATCTTTGTCGCCATGTTTATCACAACGTTTCGGCCATTGAACGATCCAGCCTTCTTCAAGTGATTGGAATGTCGAACTAAACCCTTTATTTCGCTCACTTGAGGACACATGACACAGTGGATAAAGGCGTCAGTTAGATCCAGTGACAGGACTCAAAGAGTGTAATTTCAATACCTGGTTAAGGCAGTGGAGAACTTTCAGGGGATAATTAACAGAATATAACTGACATCCATTAGACATGGCACGTGGAACTAGAACAGTCTATACCAGTGAGCGAAATAAAGGGTTCAGTTGGACATTCCAAACATCTGAAGAAGGCCGGAGCGTAAAACGGCCGGAACGTTGTGATAAACATGGGGTAAAAGATGAGGACAATAGTCCGAATAATGTAAATAATTTTTAAACCGTTTGTAAAAGTCACTAAAAGCGTCGGTCACAAAATGTGAAACGTTTTTCTTTAGGGAAAATCATGGGCGTGTAAAATCGCTCGCGAAACGCCGTATGATATATGAAACTACCTATTTGTAGAGAAATCCCTTGGTTTCAGTAAAAAGAAAGTGTTCAAAATCCCAGACTTAAAATGCAGCCCGAGAGTACGTGGACATTTTCAAAGCTTAAAAATGTTGTCAAAAAAAAAAAAAAGTCTTTCACTTGTGGTATTTCTGAGACGTATATGATGTAAGAACATTTTAACTTGTAAAAGGAACTATTTTCTCTCGCGAACGTGTTGGCACGTACAAGATGTTTGGCGGCTCAGCTCTTATGAGATACATTAGTATTGTTCCGACGGAAGTTATCGTGTTTCCGTGAGCTCTTTCTTTTATGGAAATTCCATTGGGTCGACTCACTTCAACCAACTGCCGAACTGGACAATGGCGTCCGAGGCGTACTTTCACGACGGGACTTTTGTGCAGTTTTATTCACCAAGCAGAATGCATTTCGTTCTTTGCTCTTTCCGATGTCCATTATGTCTCATTAATTCTTTTTAGATTCATTTCCGTGCGTCAGAAAATCGAGACGATCGGGGATTTTTCTGGGAAGACCGCTTTCAATTTCAGGTGTAATGATCAGCAAGTTTGTCTGGCTAGAACAATTACGACTGAATCGTGAGATCGATCCCCAGTGAGTACCCCATACGTCCGACTTTGAGTCAAATCTAAGTTACGCTTAGAAAGGCATCATAGGTGTTGATGATGACGTTTTCGGTCTCCTAGGCTAATGATATTATAGAGCCCTTTTTTGACGGAGCCGCCATTTAACTTACCCGCACCCGTAAATATGTTTTAATTCTAATGTATTTTAACGATATTTACATCGCTTGAATTTGTTGTTTTTCGTTTAGCGGCATACCAACACCTCTATGGGTTATTTAATGCCGAAATCTAAATATTTCGTAAACAATTTAATTTTTGGAGACAATAATGATTTAATGATACAATTCCTATTAATTAGTTGAGGCGGGTGGGGAGAAGTGTTGAATCTCTATCTATAAAACGCAGGATGTGTCTGTGTGTGTGTGTGTAACGAATGGACAGCCGCAATTTTCGACGGATTTGCACCAAAATTTACATGCACATGCTCCAAGTTAGTGGAATAGCCAAGACTGACTTTGCACTTCCCAACTCCAATCGATAGTGGAAATAATCGATCTTTTCATGCTTCTACGGCAGTTTTCATGTAGTTTGCGGCCATTTTCTACTGGCCAGAATGAGAGCCTATAGTTGGCTCTGACGAATAGGCAGGAAGATTCTATTGGCTAGCGTGAGAGCCAACAGCTGACTGACACGAATGTTAACTAGCATGCTAGCATGCAAAAAAATCGATAACTGCATTCGTCACAAGTGGGAAAAATTTAAATCTGCATGGCACTTTACTCCAATTGGCTCATTCGCTTGCTTAAACTCAACGTTGATTCTGATTCCGCAGAACTGGGTTGGATGTGAAAATGTATTTGTTGTTAACATTCTTTTTGCATTCGGTTTTTCCAGTTACGAGTCCTTTTTTAAAGCTGATCGTTTTGTATTCATTTTGTTTAGTATAGAGCTTAGAAAAAATTGTGGTAATTCTGGGAGTTATGAGGGAGGTATTTCTGCCGCGCCGATGGAAAAATGATTGAGGCCGAGCTGCCAGTTCAGTTCCGATAACATTGCAGATTGATGCATCTACGAGACATGTTTGCTAAACGTGTCACCAAGGGGTAATCTCTATCTATAAATGGCAGGATGTGCGTGTATGTGTAACGAATGCACAGCCGCAATTTTCGACGGATTTGCACCAAAATTTACATTCACATGCTCCAAGTTAGCGGGAAGGCCAAGACCGACATTGCATTTCACAACTCCCATTTTGTTTAGTTCTTTTTTCGTAACAGATTTAATGTTTAGTATAGAGCTTAGAAAAAATTCGCAGTGTGAGATAGGCAAGAAGTAAGGCATGTAGCAACATCAGTACGGCAAAGGGCACTCCTTTAAAGGCAAGGAAGGGGAAAAATATTTTAAGTCAAGTGATAGCGATTGCTGTATGAGTCGTACGATTTTTGAATCAAGCACGGGCAACGTCGGGCCCTGCTGCTAGTGCTTAATATAAGGTGTTTGAAATTCTGTCATTATTCTATGATTGATAGAGTGATTTGTTTTTACGGTTTATCAATCCTTTTCAAAGTTATTTAAATGTAGAAAATATTTTTAAATTCGAAGAATATCTTTTTTTGAGATAATAATGATGTGCTGATAACCATAGATGGGAGAGAAGAGGTGAAATTTTAATACGCTTCCCAAGTGTATTTGCGCATAAGTAACTATAAGGAACACCTTCTTGAACTGGAACCCGGATCTCTGATTTCAAATTCCGAGCTGTTATTCACTATCCCACCCGCATTTCAAAGCTTACAGCAGCTGGTATTCGCATCTAGGTACTGACCAGGCCCGAACTTATCTTGTGTAATTGGGTGACAGAGCAGGGAGTCTGCTAAGAGCTACAAAAGTTAGGAAAATGGGAAAGCCATCATTGGCTATGTCCGAAAGGAAGACGGGACAAAGAAGAAGCTTCCCTTCTGAATTAATCCAAAATATCTTTGTCTGTCATAAAACCAAAATTCGGAGATAGGTTGATTTTGGGTTTATATAAACATGCAGAATATAACCTCAAAATATTCGTCCATGCTTAGAGTATTACTGCCAAATGAGTTCCTTCATAAGACCCAAAGAAGAATCAGCAATATTATTGGTCCTGGGCTGTTAGCTCAGCATGAATCATTTTCGCAGCGCCGTAAGGTTGCCTCTCTGTCTATAAATACTTTCATTGTAATTGTTCGAATGAGCTTTTCGTTATGGTACATAGATTTTTGAATTTAAGCGGAACACGAGACTGGCGCCGTGGTCTCCCCAATTTACATCTAGCTGGCTAGATGTAGCCGTAAATTCTATGGTGAGAGTTTCTTCTCTTGCACTTCTTGCTTGTGGAACTCCCTTCCGGTTCCTTGCTTTCTATCCAACTTTAATCTGCAAAAATGTAAATGAAATGTCAATCGCTATCTACTGCTTACTATCTTCTCTTTCTTCTCATTATTAATGTTTCTGTTCCTAATTTTTCTACACCCTGTAACCCTTTGAATTTTAATGGCATTGCTGCCTTGCTTGGGGTGATTCTGATTTTTAAAAAAAATACGATGATTCATCCCCTCCTTAAGGAACGGGTACTCTCGTTAAAAGAGCGGGTGGCTTAATTGCAAATTTAATTGTAGAGTTCGAATGATTGTTGATTTACTTTGGAAAGATTTGAAGCCACCTCTTTATGCATATTACCTTATCGCTGTTTATCGTCTAACCACTGAGAAGCCACGATATTTTTATTCTTTTAATTTCTAGTATATCTTGAATTTAAAGTATGTTGGTGGTGCAATGGCTATCGACTTAGAATGAGAAATCGTCGAACTGGTTTCAGGCAATACGTTACATTCCCTTTCGCTCAAATACCCTTGGAAAAAGTAGGATTCAATCTCTTTTTCTACAGCTATGGATTGAATCGTAGGACAGACGGAAAGCTTCAGTCTTGGGCAGTAACGAGTCCAGGTGTAGGACAACTTTGAATTAAAAAATGGTTGGTCTTGGGGCTAGCAACCCCATCCCGTGATAAACGTATGTGTTACGGAAATCGCAGTAGCAATGGCTAGTCTGTTGCCCCATATTTTCCAGCGGAGTCGATGAAACAAAGAACATATGCGTCAGCCGAAAATAACCGTCTAGCATTCAAGTTCAGAGTCCAGAGAAAAAAAAAAAACCGATAGGGGTAAGAAAATAACTAAATAAAGTGCTCGATACGCTAAGTAAAGCAAACCTAAATTAAACCTAAAGAGCCAGACGAACCTTCCACGGTTTCATCTAAGCGGATCATCAGGGATATCCCTGCCAGAGATATCTGTCAGATATCCTGATGATCCGCTTAAATGGAAAACGTGTAAGTCAGTCTGGCTCTTTAGGGTTTAATATATATATATATATATATATATATATATATATATATATATATATATATAGTGTGTGAGAGAGAGGAAGAGAGGAGAGAGAGAGAGAGAGAGAGAGAGAGAGAGAGGGGAAAATAAAAACAGTCTTTGACTAGGAAAAAAGAATGAACCTAAAATCTAATTTCCACCGTCTTTATTAATGTAATCCTGAACCTGTTGTTTGAACATGTGGAGCCGAGTTCGAATTCCAGTCGTGTTCATTGCATTCACTTACGTGCTAATACCCTTGGGGAAGATATGAATGCATCTATTCTCTACACCACCAGCTATGGGTATAAAGCAAGACAAACTGAGTCCTGTAGCTTTTGAGGGCAAGCGGTCTATGAGAAAGTAAAATCTGTGTTAAATGCTAATCTGGAGAGGGCTGGGTTTCGTCAGGTTATCTTCCCCGGGGAAACAGCACTAATACTTCGGCTGCAGTACACGTTGTGCCCCTACGACCCTAAAGGATTACGGGTCTTGTGTTTGTTAAATAATGAAGATTGATCACATAGTTTTCCGAAAAATAATTCTGTACAACATTTGGTTGGATCTCGGCGTTCAGTTTCCTCGAAAATTTGATTATCTGCTTGAATATTAATATGAAATAAATTTCCTACTAACACTATTAGCCAGTATTCAAATCTCGGTAAAAGTCTCGATTTTTAATGCTGATTTTTCAAGTAGTCAGGCAGATAACAAAATGTGTTCTACAAATCCTTTAAAATGACTCTAACATTAAAACATAGTTTCCACCGTCACTATTAAAGTAATGCAATACCAAATATTTGTACACTGACCTACAAAAGGCTGAAAATGTTCATACAGAATTCGCTTAGTACACATATTTCAAAGGCGCCGAAATTTTGAGTAGTACTTTGTATGCTTTCATGTGAGCTGCCTTGAAGCGAGAATTGGTTTACATTTTTATGTTGCCGTATAATAAATTGAGAGTGGTTGATTTTAGTCGTTTCTATGTCGAGGAATCAAACCGGCTTATAATGTGTTTTGACATGTTGTTATACTGTTCAATAATCTTGAGGAGAATCCATTTACATTTTGTCTTGTGTTCATCGAAACTGACAGAAGTGTATTGTATATTGGCTATCATTTACTTGCTACTGCCCATACTCTAACACAGTCTGTTCAATTCAATTCTATCTATCTATCTATCTATCTATCTATCTATCTATCTATCTATCTATCTATCTATCTACCCCAGGTTTTTAGTAAGAGGAATAATACATATCCATTCTTTATTCTATTAATCTATCATTGATAGACATATTGTAAGGGGTGTAATATATAGTATATATGCCAGATTTTTCGTAAAACGTGTAATATTTATCTATCTATCTAGGCCTGTTTATATGTACATCTTTTCATATGTATGTATGTATGTATCTATCTTGGTATTTTTTTATCTACATCTGTTCATATATATCTATCTCGGCATGTTTAGATCTACATCTGTTCATATGTATCTATCTAGGCCTGTTTAGATCTACATCTGTTCATATATATCTATCTAGGCCTGTTTATATCTACATATGTTCAATTGTATGTATTTAGGCTTGTTTAGATCTACATCTGTTCATATATATCTATCTAGGCCTGTTTAGATCTACATCTGTTCATATATATCTATCTAGGCCTGTTTAGATCTACATCTGTTCATATATATCTATCTAGGCCTGTTTAGATCTACATCTGTTCATATCTATCTATCTAGGCCTGTTTATATCGACATATGTTCATATCTATCTATCTAGACCTGTTTATATCTACATATGTTCATATCTATCCAGGCCTGCTTATATCTACATATGTTCATATCTCTCTATCTATCTCTATGTGATAGCTTTAGTCTACAAATTGGTAATATTTGCCGGTATGAACTAATTCAACAGCAATCAGGTATACATGTTTCTAAAAAATTACTAATTTTATTCACTTAGTACAACTGTAGCTACAAATAAAAAAAAATGCTGTAGACTATACAACCTTGTTGCTAATAAACGCTTTCACTGGACTAATGACCGTTCTTGAATAATTACACGATCGAGAAGTAAAGCCTAATAATAGGGAGTTCATGAAATTGGAATACAATTTAAAGCTGTAGAATGCACACGAGAAAATACTGAAGACCTGTGATAATGCAACATCAACAGTAACTTAATTAATATCCGTTAATATACATCTCATTAAAAGGGGTAAAACGAGCGGGTATATTCTGGCTTAGGAGTTGTATTCTACATAGTGTAACCAATTTTGTATATTTTTGACCTAGCAAAATAATGGGCAGAAAAGAAAAAGAAAGTGAAGACGAAGAAAGAAAGAAATGCCACGTATCGACATAGATGGACAGGTGAGAAGAAAGAGAATAAATTCGAATGAAGATGAATTTTATGCATTGGTTTTGAGTCCGCAAACCGGACAAAAAGGAAGCAATAGAATTAAAAAGCAGCACGAATTTGGAAACAAGACAAGAAAGGAAGGAACTTCGAAAAAGAAAACAAAAACGAAACGAGATAACTAACTGAACCCACTTCAACTCCGGAAAATAAACATTTAAGTATCTCAGCCAAAGATATGCGGGTTGTGTAGCGGTTATCGGTGTTTAAAGTGGAATTGGTGAGCCGAGTTCAAGTCTCTGCCTAGTCAATTGTTCACATTTTCCACTAACGGCATCGGAAAAGGTATGGATCCATCTATTTTCCTTACAACTGAATGTTCAAATAGACTCTAGGTTTGACTAGAAATCAGTCTAGTCTAACGATATGTTGATTGATTTGATTTTTTATGACTTCTCAACCCTTTATGATTTATTTAAGGCCGAAACATTTTTTGGATTGTATGAATAATTCCTTCTTTCCCAGTGAATATTGTATTACAATATTTTGATAACAACAAAAATCTTTCAAGATACAAGTTCTACTATTTCACCCATAATAATACTTTTCTCCGAGTTTTTTTTTGTCTATGAAGGTAATAAATCCGACTGGAATTCGAACTCGTTTCTCCGATTTCTCTTTACGAGTCGCAATACTCCATCTGCACATACTTAGGAGAAGGACAACTCTGAATTCAATATTTTGGAGATTAGAACAAGAAACCACTATTCTCCCCAAGATGTCATCACAATTAAAAGAAAGGTTCATCCATTTGTTTATGAGATCAGATATGCCTTCCAGGTTGTTGAAGTTCCGTGTGATCTTCCCATGTTTCGGTAGACACCGGTAATTACACCGCTCACTCTAGCGGTAGGTTTGAAGCTAGCGTCCAGCTCTCAGACAAAAATAAACAGAGCCGTAACTTAATACGAACCTGAACGTCACCAGGGTCTCGTTCGCACTGCCAGCCAATGTCCCAGACCGTTTTTATTGACCAAAAACGCGGCGAAACACATCAATCATCGCCGTTGGCCTCGTTCTCAATCAGAGTCCCCTGCTCGACCAATCAGCATGCAGACTGCCACTAGACAAATCGTGCCAAGTAGCATAAAATCAACAAATGCTGGAAAATGTACTTTTTTGGGGCGGGAGGAAAGGATGCAGTTGACGAAATGACAAACTGTCTAGCTTGGTTTTATGCACATATCCATCATAAAACAGCAGCTCGACAAGTAAAACATCTTGGACGCTTCGACTCCGGTAAGTAGGAATATTTATCGTCACACAGGTTTTGTGATTGTGAGCCTCGTTTCTAAATGGAACCTCTGAGTCATAAAATGCTTTCACAGCATTATTAAAATATAATAAATAACAAATCGTTGGGCTCAGTAGTTATTTTTGAGTTTAGCATCGCTGGCTGATACCGTGTAAAAGAGAATTTGGAATAATCCTTGGGCAATCCTTCGATCCGCTTTCATAATTCTCTTCTCTGCATCTCATCGCCAGAAAGAGTCTGCAAATCAACAACATTACTTTACTGCCCACACCGACATTACCATTCACGAAGAACAAGTGATAAGTCAGTGGTTTTCTACCCAATCATAAATACATTTTTTTACTTTCTGAACGTTTTTGTCATGTGCCGATACCTTTCAGGACGTAGGCGATCATGGCTCTCCACCACCCTCTTTCCCTTGCGGCTCTCAACAGATTCCTTTCCTATGCCACCTCACCCAGACAACGTTCTGTCATCCCCTTGCTTAAGCCCGCTACGTATGTCAGGCGCTGTTTTCCCTTGTCTCTCGTTACCTCTATTCAACCCGTGAGTATCAGATTCTCCAGGCCCTCCTTCCTCATTATGTGTCCCAGAAACTTCAAGTGACTCTTCCTGATGTTAAGTATAAGCCTCCTCCTTGTTTGTATTCTCTTTGACCTCATCGTTGCTCACACGCTCGGTCCATGATATCCTTAGCCACCTTCAGTAGAACCACATCTCTGTCGTGTTGAGTCTCTTCTTCACCTTTGGGGAAACCGGTCAACATTTGCTGCCGTAAAGAAGAGCAGATGTCACGTAACAGCTGAGTATTCTTTTCTTCGCTGTTTTCTCTTGTCTCTCTCTTTCCCTCTATTCGACCCGTGAGTATCAGATTCTCCAGACCCTCCTTCCTCGTTATGTGTCCCAGAAATTTCAGCTGCCTCTTCCTGATGTTAAGTATAAGCCTTCTCCTTGTTTGTAACCTCTCTAAGACCTCATTGTTGCTCACAACGCTCGGTCCATGATATCCTTAGCATTCCTCTGTAGAACTACATCCCCGTCGCTTCGAGTCTCTTCTTCATCTTTAAGGAAATCGTCCAACATTCTCTGCCGTAAAGAAAGACATATGTCACATAGCAGCTCAGTATTCTTTAATTTGTTACTAAAGAAATCCTCCTGTATTTCATGCATGGTTCATCGTTTTCATTCTCTCTGTATATTCTTCTTTTACTGTTCTCTCGAATTCTATTTTGGAACTTAATTGATAATTATGATATTATTTTGAACCGCCTATACCAGCGATTCGGTTTCTTTCTTTAAATTTTCCTTCTGCGGTAATATCGTTTCAATTGCAGTTCCTTCAGTTTATTTTACTGAAATGTCCGTAGACGTCTTTCTGCCTCGGTTTTGTATTACCGCTTTTAGATTTACGAATTCTCCATTCTTCCCGCTTTTGGTTCTCATGTAAATTTTGGTTCTTCTACATCCTTTTTCCTCTTATTCTGTCTTGTGCAGTCCTTAGGTCCTTTGATCGAAGAGCCAAAACGATAGCTTATGTGTCCTTTGCCAGCTTTTTCTTTTCGCATACTGTCCATGTGGATTTTTCTAGTATATATAAGTGAGCTTTTTTTTCAAGTCCTGAAGTACCTAAAGTAAACGAAGATTTTCCTTGGAAGGTTCTTATTTATTTTTCAATTTGATTAGCTCCTTTACGAAGACTTGCATTTGAAACACAAGGAAAATTAAGATTTTCCTTAGATAGCTCCTGTTGTTTTTTTTGCTGTTGTTGTTGTTACTGTTATTGTTGTTCTTGTTTCTTCTTCTTCTTCTTCTTCTTTATAATGATGATGATAATATAACCACTCCAGTTGTTATATATGTTGGTGATGATGATCATATCATTATTCTAATTGATTCGCTTTCTTTGGCTTATCAAACATTTTCAGCTTATTTAAAGCCAGAGAATATTTACATTGTGAGATTTTGTGGCAGTGGGTGGGTGAGGTAGATAATAATAGTCTAACGATACAAGTCTTACTAAGTAACCCATAGATGGTAGGAGAAGAGGTGGATTCATATCTTTCCGCGTCCTGGATAAGACAATAAACTATGTCCAACAGTAAGGCATCTGATTAAGAGGTTTTGAGGATTGTGGAAGCACCTCTTAATTGCTGGTGTTCCTATGACCACCCGGACCCGGTTTGGTAGCACATGTTCGGGTCCCAGCTATGGGTAAAAAGTTAACCCCCAAACTGGGTTCAAAACACTATGAAAGTGTAATAATAGGTGTTAATACTAGAAATACTTTGTAAATAATTATTACCAGCGATAAATTTTTGAAGAAAAATTATTACCAGCAATACATTATTACCAGCAATACATTTAAAAAAAATTACCAGTAATATATTTTTGACAAAAATATATTACCAGCAATAAAAATATTGTCGGCTTTAAATAACTCGTTGAGGTTGATATACCGTAAAATAAACCAAACTGAACCATACTAATCATACCATACCCAAGGGTATTGCGCGTAAGTGAATATAACGAAACGAATGGAAATTGAACTCGGCTCCCCGATTAACAATTTCGATCGACTATCTATTACACCACTCGCACATCCAAGCTCACAACACTTTATATTACCAAGAGGTTACCCATCTAGTTACTGACCAGGCTCGACGTTACCTAATTTCGCTGATCATATGGTAGCTGGTGTTTCAATGCCGCATCTTAGAAGCGCAACAGCGCTCTCCTAATGATTTTAGATAGTCTCCGAGGCAGATAGTTCCTTGAAAATAGTTCCGAATGTAAAAAGGACAGGGTGATACATTGTTTGATACATTTATCTGATTTCGTCTGACAGATCTTGCTACTTCTGTATTATCGATTGTTCTGCCTTCACGATGTTTTTTATCGCAATGTACCACAATGTCTACAAGGATCAACCCATAAGTACTTATTATAATTATTAATTATATTTATAATTTTCCCGCCGTTTTTTTAATACAAATCTCTTATAATCCAATGATCACTAGTACAATAATTATTTTGTTTGTTTAAATAATTGTAGTATTCAATCTTCTCATTTCCTTTGCTTTCAAATCTCGTGTCAAATAAGCAGAAGTAGCGACTTATTTAATATCTTCTCCGGCTCTTAGATGTTTCGACCAGATAATGATGATCAGGTGTCAGCTTCAGCTCAC